TTCTGTTACAGATAGTTTGACCGATTTGCACAAAAGACAAAATTTAACAAGATGGGATGGATATAAAGTATTGGTTGAAAAATTTTATAAAATCACAAGACTGGAATTTTCTACATCTAATAAAAACTCTGGCTTATGTACATATGGGATGGAGCTAAACACTGTTCTGATACGTACTACGTTAAATCTAAAGCGACTGCATCTCGGCAGATTCAATACGGTCAAGATAAGTAAACAAAAAGAAAAAGATATGAAGGGAAAGTACTGTTTCTAGGGAGCACAAATGAAGTAAAAAATATCACATGCCAAAAGCTGATGTCCGTTTCCTCGCGAGTCGAAAGTTTCCAACACCCTTTCATTTTCCCTGGTAATGTCTGTACCTTTGYCTTCTTCTCCMATTGAAATTTACTCAAATGTCTGGCTAAAAACTAGACTGCGATGCTTAGATAGGAATCCCCAAGATAGCTTAATCTGGTGCAATAAGGTGTCTTTAGAGAGACTTTTCTGTGCGAGCTGTCTCTCTATACCTCCTTGTTCATCAAAAGAGGAAGAATTGAAGAGAGACACTGCTTGTGAGATGTAGTCGAGAGTAACTATAAGAATATGGATTATATTTGTATATTTAGCAATAGCCACTTCGAGCTAAACTTCCACCATATTTATGACGACCAGTTCACCATGTACAATAATTGATTCATATACATATACACATTTTTTTATCAGTTTTTGTAAAGTTGGATTAGTGTTATATATTARTAAATATCAGTCTACTAWACAAGTGTCRTAGATACTGATGAATAAATATCAGCTCTTTAAGGCCTGCGGCGAAATTATCATCCACGTCGCGCATGTGTACGTKGGAATACTCTCTAGTCTTCTTTGAGTTCGAGATATATTCAGCCATCRTCATAGCACGCATGCTCGCTCCAGACTTAACAGAATTAACCGCCGACATAATAGTTATAAAAATTTGATGTCTTTATGCAAATCTGACGGTTTCCAAGGCAAAATGCTCTTTAAATTCGCTAAAACAGGTGCTACGATGCATTTGAAAAACTTGTTTGTCATAATATCAGATAATTACAACGCCCTACGTCAGACTTGATTTATTGCGTGACGAAAAATGACTTAAGTAACATTTAAACTAGAGACTATTCAAAAAGTCACACTACAGGACAATAAACGCATCTACAGTGCTGSCTAGTTTTATCGAGAAAAATATCTAAATTGACCACATCCGCCACTAAAGCATAAAACATTAATTTGCGGTTGATAAATGTTCTAGAGCTGTCTTTTCAAGCCAAAGGGTTCTAATTACAAGTGCGTATGGAGGCAAAGTTCTTGAAAACGAAGTCGTAAGTGGTTCGTCAAAGCAGTTTTGAAGGTAAAATTCAATCTAAATGTTTTTGCTGTCGAATTTGTTGTAGCAAATGTAGGATTTTCTCATAAGTACTTATCAAAACTGATACGATATTTAGTTTTTTCGAAAATAATGAGTCCAAAAAGCAAGATAACAAAATGAAGCATAAATCGATCCATGATTTGAGCTTTTTGCATTCGCTAGCAGTCAACCTGTTATCGAAATWAAAGCTCCGTTTTTTGATATCATTTGTTTACTCAAAATAATCCAATGCGCAATGAAATTTTATGAAATGACGCATTTTAAATGAAAACATGTTTCCTCTAATGACTATGGAAAAAAAACGGACAGTAATAACATAATTGAATTAGTTGTATATGCTTTTTTTAATAATGTATACTTGTATACTCGAAGATGTTGCACTAAAAAATGGATTTAATAGCCCTTTGTCGATACTCTGCTTGATTGAATGGAGGTCTTGCACAAAAGAACTGAAGACGAGGCTAGAGGGAAAACAAGGATCATCTGTTGTTTCGTTCCCCACGAGCCTCGTCTTCATTTCTTCCGTGAGCGCTTAGTCAACACTAATCAGAATATAGCGAAARTGGTCAATTCAAATCGTTTTCAATTGGATAAAAAGATAAAGATTTTCAGTCTAAATTTTGCAACAACAGTCATATTRAATTCTTTAAAAATTGGATTTTTGCCATCACGGTTGCTTTTTTATATCGCTGTACCCAARAAACAAMACGACAAATCGCAAMMAWTTTGGACAACACTTAGGCCAAACTGTTKCGCTTTGCTTGCGTCTATAATAGTTTCATTTCCCTACGAAAACACTGAAATGATACAATATACAATTGATATAATCCGAAATATTGTGACAGTCACCATGACAGTCTGTACTTTACCTAGAATTGCTTCGACATCGATTATGATAGATGTAAGCTTAGTGATTTTATAAAAGTAACAAGCTTTATTCATTTCAATGGTTAAGATGAAGCTCAGCGATGACATGGTTAAAAGACATGATATTTTTCGACACATTTTACTTACGTAATCATCAGTTGAATTTAATGAGAAGTAAACAAGTTGTTATACACTAACTTAATCTTAAAATGTCTTAACAGGAATCTTTCCATTTGTACCTTATTCATTAATTAATCTTTGAAATAATAATGATTATATCTAAATGATGAAGTGTGACATTTACTTTACAGAAAATATCATCTGACATTGAAAAAAAGTGAAAAAGAAAATGAAATTAAAGTGTGGCGAGAAAGAGTCATAGACATTGCTGAGTGCTGTTATCGCAAATTCATATAATTGTTTCCGTGATATCGATTCTTCTGTCTCAGAACTCTTTTTTTTTTGCATTTCTAGGACGCCAACACCCATTGTAAGAGAAAGTGAATCGTGTTGACGAACATAAAGAGCCTCCCTTCAAAGAACTCCATTATAAATCGCATCATCTGTGAGATAAACAATAAGGAAGCTAATCGATGTTACAACGCACGTCAGCGGATGCTTCCTGACAGCAAACAAATTTCACTTTACTCCCTTTGGATTCACATAATAAATAAAATCCGATTTTAAAAGTGCGCAAATTCRAGAACCATCATTWAATGATGAACCTCTTTGACAAAAAATCAGAAGAACGCTTCATATTTAACGTATTCTTTGTAACTCTTCTTGGACTTGCACTTCTATGTCTTATAATTCTGGCAGTTGTGCTTCTTGTGATCAGATGCAGACGATACCGCGAGCAGAAAAGAAGAGAACAACTTCCAAGCTATTCTTCTACTGCGAACTTTGTCATCAACAGACCGCCTGCTACTGATGTGGTGTTAGGGGTGTACGACGGGCGGACTGATCATGTTTATTCAGATGAGATTTTTAGCCCTGATTTGAGTGATGAAGGTGTAGCACCACTTTATGGAGACGGTTCGAAGAAGGATGACCGCGCACGCTTCTACGATGCAAACGGCTGGAGAGGATTTGCGTATTAGAGTAAATTAAAAGTGCTATTGGTGGAAAACTTAGAATTTGGGATTTTGATAAGCGATTAATGACCGTTAATGGAAATTGCTGTATTCAAATATGTACAATGCTTTAATCTAAAGCTGTCTTTTTCCCATATTAACGCTTCATTGATGAAATTGAGCTCCTTTGCCTTGTGGAAGGACATAGCTAGGTATGAGGAGTATGTTTGCATTTGTAAGACGTTGCCAACTAAATGTGCGTCATACTACAAATTAATTGATTGAAAGCTTATTTCTGCTTTATTGTATGAGGTTCCTCTCGATAGCAGTGCCAAGAAATGACGAACTGCTTACAGCAAAATACTCATGTCAGACATGTCTTTGGTCACATGTAAATCTTTGGTTTTATTCAAGACAAAGTCTAGAGCACTTTTAGTAAGTTCCTCCAATTTTCTCTTGCTATCCATGGAACATCGTCCAGATTTGGGTTAACGACTCTTTGGATAAAAATGAAAAGACTTTGCTTATATTGGCATACAAAAGTCTCGTATTTTTTGGACGTTTTTCACACAAGCGAGGAACACACAGATCTGCTTTCCTAACAACATTTTCAGCTATGATGTAGATTGACATAGATTTATATATAAAGCTTGCGGACTGAGATTTCTGGTTGAATATTTACATAAATACATGGATTGGGTGGCTGGTAACGCTTCAACTGAATTRYTCWTTTGAAAATCATGAGACTAACTACACARGTCCTTATAAGCTTGAAGAAGTGCATTTTCAAGAGCAGAAATGACATGGTAATTTATAAAAGACGCCATATTGGATGTAAATAAATGAGTTTATATTATTTATAAAAGTCTTATTCAGTTCCTAAAATAGGAAATTTCATATTTATTAGAGAGATTTTGTATAGAACATTAGTCATAACATTGACAGTTATTTAATTTTCAAATGAAAATTTAATTAAAGATGCGAATAAAGGCTCGATTATAAAAGCGTAGTGGACGTGTCATTAATAATATGTCATTTGTACTGAATATTTTCAAACCAATTTTATCCTGAAATTGTGAGCAATGATGTCAAGTGAATATGTGTATGACGCATAACTGTGATGTCATAGGTGGGTCGTAACCGTGACGTCACTTGTGACGTCACCATTTAGAGGTTTGTCATCATGATACTGCATTTTCAGATAGTGGTTGCTGAAACGAGAAATTCTACGTATGTACATATGAGCTTATATGGACGTCTAAAAGCGGGTCAAAACCGTAGATCAAACGGATATGAGTTAGCAAACAATAAATCAAAAAGTCAATCAATCTCCAGGAATAAAATACTGAAAAGTTGCGTGCAATAAAAAAATAAAAAATGGATGCATTCACGTAGCGAGACATTCGTCGCAGTAGCGAGACTTGAACCTCGTGGAGATTCCCCTCAACTCTCTGGTCTCTCTGCGGTCAGTCCGTGGTACTTGGGAATGGGGGCTAGTGATCCGATGCTAGTAATATTTTGGAAAAATAAAGATTATAATTCTAGTTAATGGTCGAATTAATAATGAAATGAAATGATGAATGAGTTTTGTTGGTTACACCTGTTTTCGTTTCGGGATCCCTGTCYCTATGGTCGGGTAAATAAAAGAAAGAACAAATTTATAGAGATAGAAGGAAGAAATCAACTATCTTAATGAGTAAATGGATGAATATAAACATCTGAGGAAAAAAAACTTCAACATTGTGAAAATAATCAAGGAAGAAGGAATTTGATTCTTATGAACCTGAAGCGAGATTTGGGGTTCCTGTGGTAAACGTCACTTGACACATCCCGTGACAACTCCTTCTCGTCCTTCTCGAGTTACTGTGGTGTGTGTTGCACAAGCTACTTCGCCGATCACCTCCTATTTTGAGCATTTTTCTCTGCAAAAATGGCATCAAGGACAAAAGCAAGCGAACAACTATCTGATTATGCACAAAGTCAAAACGTAAGTCATGATTTTGCGTGTTTTTAAGCGCGAAAATTTWKTTATTTGYACAAGTGGTGCCATGACGTAGCAAATCCTTTTGGATCCAATTCCTGCATGCAACATTCTCTTCGCTTAGAATATTAAAATGTTTATAATTTGAGGTAAAAGTATGTGTTTATGGGGTTTCTAGAGGGAGTTATGTTGTTATTATTGTTGGTTTGGACAGAATCAGCTGTTTCATTCTTATTAAGAAAGTTACATTTGCAAAGTGCTTTGTACTTTGTGCTCCGAACTTATTAAAGGATTAATTTATCGATTTCTATCACTTTCACACCTTATTAAAGCTTGAAAGATCATTAAAACTCTTTTATGTAACGTGTTGGATAAATATTAGAGAAAATATTTGTATTAATAATTATTAGCATGTCTGTGATGTTTTTTCCAAATTATAATAAACTTTTATTATTGGTGGTAAATATTTATTATTAGAATGTTTTAAAATGAAATACGTGTATATGTAAACGTTCACCAAAGATCAATTTTTTAAAAGAAAACTTTATCTTGGGCATTTTGTAATGTATTCTGCTTGAACTATTTTTGCGTAATAATTGTCCATTGCATAATAGTCTGTGTTTAGCCAAATGTATCAAAGAATTATTGTTCAAAATAGTTAGCAAGTGAAACAACAAATTTCCATTTAATGTCCTCTCATTGTAAACGAAATGCTAAAGTTTAATGTAAATTTGTTACAGGATTATGATAATTTAATTGCAAGATTATTTTCATAGAGACTAGAAAACATCAAATGATATAATAACTATTCCTAGATAAAGTGTAGTCCTTCATGTTAGTGATCTTATGTCTTTTGATAACTTTCACTTCCATTTACTATAAAAATCAATTTATGGATGTTTGCAGTTTTACTAGTATATGGTAAAGCTCTTGCAGTAATTTTCACACCGAAAAGTACTTCTGGAAGTTGGCCAAGAACCTGCTAGTGTGCTTTGTTAAGCAGTGAAACAGTTTTATATAACACTGCCAATGTAACAGTAGTTTTGAAAAGTAGAAAACATATGAAGAAAACAATTTGGATTTTGTATTATAATTGTCCCTAATTTCTAATGTAGAGTCAAGAAAAACTGCGAAATATTGTAGTTATTGCACTAATACAGCTGTTTTTATTGGAGAATATGGATTATTCTCTGTAAAATGTATAATTTAAACATTTTTAGGAAGTTGGATCCTTTGTTTTCTCATAATTGTTTCAATAGAAAATCAACACRGGCCACTTCAGTTTAAAACTGTTGCAGTAGCTTTAATTTTCTTCTTTAGCATGCAAACCTTAAAAGCGTGAAAACTCTCTAACCAAGTAAGGTTGAACAGAATTAATAACATGTAGTGTTGAATAGACAAAGAAAACAAATGAGTTATCATGATTTAGAGGTACATATGACTATTTGATAATTAGTTAACTTCACTTTACAACCCATAGATATCAGAAATTTCCTGTTAATCACAAGATGCATTGATTGAAATGGACAGTCTCGGATTACACCCATTTGGATAAATCCCACTATAAAGAAAGGGCCCAGGACTTGACCTTTCTTTAAGCAATTTAACTCTACCCTATTCAGTTTCTAAGAAGCATTTTGCTTTTAGTTTGAATTATTTGTATATTTTCGCTCTTGTTCAGTCTGACACGTCAGTATTTGTAGTTCATGCATGATCTGTAGCACATCCACACTGAGGTATAATTAGGTCAGACAGGAAAAATAACATGTGCAGATAATGGAAATGAGATAATGTGGGTCAGACCTTCTCTTTGATATTGACTTTCATGGAATTCTTAAAGGCATTGTAGTACAATTTTTGTTCCAATATTTGGATTTAATCTAAAACATTAACACTATAACTTTGATGCAACAAAGACATTTAAAAAAATTCATAATGTGTTTTCACTATTGGAGCTTCCAGTAAGGTGTCAACTAACTTTGCTTTTATGTATGTGTCAACCCCCAGACCCTGTAAATGAATGTCTAAAAGGCCAAGTATTGCAAAACTAGACTAGTGCTGTTGACAGGCAGGGAATCCAAACAATGCAGATAGTTTAGGCTTTGTTAACAATAGGTGGGCATGTCTGAAGTGACCTTAAAGATCAAGACTTYAGACATATCATCTGAAAATCTTAGCTCAAACTATTGTAATGTGAGATTGCACTAGAAATTTAATTCTCAGTTGTGAAAGTTTTTTTTGTCTGCTATAATGAATTTTGTCAAATTTCTCTTTTACAAAATGTATGATGTATAGTTAGAATTTTCAAAGGTTATTTTTGGATCTTAAGTATGTGATGTCTGACTGTAAATTATGCAAATCAAATAAAGAGTGTCAACACAATTTCTTCAGACTGCTCATTGTGTACTCAAGAACCCTTGTAAAATCTCTGAGATGACAGATGGCTACATGTAGGCATTACTCTCTTGCATGTGATTGGTCAATATAACAATCAGATATTCAGATTGTAGGATTGCTTCACAGATTGTAGTACGTGAAGCAATCCTACAATTTGATGAAATTCCAACTTTCCATCTTATATAGGACTGTATATCAGTTACTTTTACCTGTTATTTGAACAACCATCAAACTGTAGAAATCTCTTTTAAGAAAAAAAAATCAGAAAAGGAAAAAAAATTGTTAAAATAACCCTACAATGTAAATTAGTACATAATTATAACATAAATTTATATAATATATAATAAAGGGCTGTTTTTTTTTTATCCATCATAATATATGACAAATTTTAAATGAGAAGATATATGTATGAAAGACAGTTTTTTTGAACTTTTCAAGGGTGAATCTAGATTCTCTATACAATTCAATTGCCAATCATAATGGCCATTGAATTCAACAGGAAGAACAGCAAGAACAACAGCAACAACAGTAACAACAACAACAACAGCAGCAACAACAGCAGCAGCAACAGCAGCAGCAGCAACAACAACAGCAACTAACAAAACCACAAAATTCAATAGCAACTTGACAACAACAGCAACAACAACAATGATAACAACAGCAACAACAACAATGATAACAACAGCAACAATAACAACAACAGCAACAACAACAACAACTACAATACAGTTCTAGAAAGGAATATATGTCACTATCACAAATCTATCTGAAATGAAGTTATGCCCAAACAATCACATCTCCACTATACAAGAAACTGAGATATCCTAATATTTRTTMTTATAGGGMSAGCGCCAGTGTCTAACAACAAGTGCTGGTGTGCCCGTGGACACCAATACCTCAACAATGACTGTTGGTCCACGTGGTCCCATTTTGATGCAGGACACCCAATACATGGATGTGATGTCACACTTTGACAGGGAGAGAATCCCTGAACGTGTTGTTCATGCTAAGGGTGGTGGTGCTTTTGGGTATTTTGAAGTCACTCATGATATCACAAAGTACTGTAAGGCTAAGATCTTTGAGAAAGTTGGCAAGAAGACAGACTGTGTTGTCAGGTTTTCTACTGTAGGTGGGTGTAAATATATTCTGTAAAATAATGGAGTTGATGACTGCTGTAATTCAGTGAATGGATGTCATATCATTGATTGTTGAGGGATTTAGATAAATATAATTATATGGTGATTGTGATTGATAAGCTGATTGATTAAGTTTTCAGAAAATTGAATGCTTGAATTGATTGATTGGTTGATTGATGAATAGGTTGTGTGTTTGAATGGTTGATTGATTGCTTTGGCAATAGGGACAAATAATCAATTGATCAAAAGAGAGATTGAGTGTTTGAACTATCAATGGACTAAGTGATTGACTGGTTGATTTATTGATTGATTGATTCATTAATTGGTTGATTGATTGGTATGTTGGCTGATTGATTGATTCATTAATTGGTTGATTGATTGTTTGATTGGTATGTTGGCTGATTGATTGATTGATTGGTTCAGTGATTGATTGATCATCAACTAATAAACAACTAGATTATCATTCTTAATCTCTTTAAATCTAGTGGATTTGTATAAATCAATGAATAATTGATTGGTTTATTATTGCCATGATATATTTATAATTAATAACACTGTGGTATGTTTATTGAAAAGGTGGTGAATCTGGCAGTGCTGACACTGTACGTGACCCTCGTGGATTTGCTTGYAAGTTCTACACTGAAGATGGCAACTGGGATCTCGTTGGCAACAACACTCCTATCTTCTTCATCAGGGATCCTATTCTGGTATGACAACTACTTTCCGGTTTCCTGGTTGACAGGCCAGAATTTTTTAAGATAGTACTTTCATTACCTTGTCAGTAAGTTGCAGTGTACATGTCTTACAAGTACTGATGTTCATTGTTGCATATCTGTTAGTTTCCCAGCTTCATCCACACTCAAAAAAGAAACCCTGTCACTCACTTGAAGGTTAGTCCTGTATTCCTCCTAGATTGCTATGTAGCTTTATCAGAAAACATTAAACAATACCCCATTTTTGAATTCAAAGTGAACAACCGCTGTTTTATTTAACAGCAGATTCTCTTGTGCAAAGATCTTACCAAAAACAAAAGAAAGYATGAGAAAAATTCATTATTACCATAACCTTGAAAATTTGCRTTTTTCCTCAACTTRGGGAAAATGTAAATTGTTAGCGCTATTGTACTTACAGCATTTTCTCATGCTTTCTTTTGTGTTTGGAAGGTCTTTGTGTAAGAGAATTTGCTCTCAAATAAAACAGAAGTTATTCGCTTATGAATTCGAAAATGGAGGAAGATAGTGGAACAGATTTCTACTTACGACTGTTCAACAGCACATATCACATCACTGACGCTGTCACACAACACGCTCACTGCAGATTATTATTTAGAAGTGTCATCTGAGTGTACCAACCATAGAATTTGTTATTTTTTTAGGACCCTGACATGTTCTGGGATTTCATCACCCTCCGTCCAGAAACCACCCACCAAGTGTCATTCCTCTTTAGTGACCGTGGCATTCCAGATGGACACTCCCATATGAATGGATATGGTAGCCACACCTTCAAGATGGTGAATGCGGAGGGCAACCCTGTATACTGCAAATTCCACCTGAAGGTTAGTTAATGTACAGTGAAATAGGGGCTTGAAAAGCTTTTGAAAATGGGGATAATCGCTAAAACTTTTGGAGAACTCCCTTGAATCTGGTAAATTTGATATTTTGTACGTTAGCTTTTGGATTGAATGTGGCTAATTTTGAAAATCGTCAAATGAAAAGTCTGCAAACATCTTCAGAAATAGTCCTTGAAAATTGCATTTTTGTGCTTAAAAAGTACTTGAAAAGTCCTGGGATTTTGTAGTGAAAATGTAGCACAAACCCTGATTATTGCTTTTGTCCTGTGCTGTGCTGCATTAGTATGCAATACTTCAATGTAGTAGTTTCAATGTGATATAATATTTTGATTTAGACGGACCAAGGAATCAAGAACATCCCTGTGGATAGAGCTACACAGCTTGCTGGCTCCGACCCTGACTACAGCAACAGAGACTTGTACAACCGCATTGCTGATGG